CTCATGCTCACAAGGACCCTGACCTGGGTAACCTCCCATTCCTGTCCTCACCCTGCCATGGGCATCAGGATCCTCTGCTGGGTGAGCCTCTGTCTCCTGGGGGCAGGTGAGTCCTCAGAAAACCAAGCCCTTTCATTGTGTTTTGTGTTTGTTTGATGATTACAATTATTTTTCCTCATTCTATTCCCAATTTCTGTCTCCACAGGTCACACAGATCCTGGAGTGTCCCAGTCCCCCAGGCACTTAGTCACAAAGAGGGGACAGGATGTTGCTCTCAGGTGTGATCCAATTTCTGGACACACTGTCCTTTACTGGTACCAACAGACACTAGGGCAGGGCCCAGAGTCTTTGCTTTACTTCCAAGGCAAGAATGGCCCATACACATCAGGGATGCCTAAAGAGCAGTTTTCTGCTGAGAGGTCTGATGGCTCCTACTCCACTCTGAAGATCCAGCGTGCAGAGCAGGGGGACTCAGCTGTGTACCTCTGTGCCAGCAGTTTAACCACAGCGCTGCAGAGTCACCCTCTTCCTGCTCTCAAACCCTCATGTGCTCACCTCTCCTCATAGTTCCCAGAGTCCTGAACAAAGGGGAAATAAGTGCTTTGGGACTTGAATTGTTGTTCTTACAGTGGGAGGTCAAAAAATGACCTTCAAAATACCAGAACAGTTCACCTTGGGCAGTAAGGTTCTGTCTGGTTTTCTAGGATTCCTTTATATAGATCAAGATTCCATAATTGAGATTGAGCACCAGAGCTTAGTGTCAGGTATGGTCTCCTGTAAAATATAAAGTTTTAACACAATTACATTAAACTACTGGCACTGAGCATCACTGACTCAGATGACACTAAGCTTTAGTGTGGGCCACCAATGCAGAGCACTGTCCAGGCCTCATGCAGCCGCCAGCCTTAAAATATACACATTAGTAATAACTGCCATCGAGTGCTCAATGGTTGAGCATCGGCCCATGAACAGAGTGGTTGCTGGTTCGATCCCCAGTCAGCACACATGGGTTGTGGGGCTAGAATCCCAGTGGGGAGTGTGCAGGAGGCAGCCAATCAATGTTTCTCTATCATTGATGTTTTCATCTCTCTCTCCATTTCCCTGTATCTCTCTGAAATCATATATATATATATATATATATATATATATATATATATATATTTATATATATATGAATTGACATTGAAATAATTATCCAGGAGCACATGTCAGCCACAATAATGCATGTTAATGTATGTCTATATATTGTTTTATTGTTTTCTTGATAATCAGCTGTCTTCTTCTCAAATCTATTTTGAATAGAAATTTAAATTTCGCTTGGTTTATTAAACACCCTACTTGAGACAATGTTAAAGAAAAGTGATTTAAAGAAGACCTGAAAAACAGTTACACTGCCCCCCTTTATCTTTGGGAGATACTTTCTAAGAAGCCCAGTGGATGTCTGAAACTGCTGATAGTACCAAACCCTATATATACTGTTTGCCCTTGTGCTTTGGGGCCACTATTAGGTGAAAGAAAGTTGACTAGAACACAAGCACTGTGATGCTGCTCCGGTCAATGTGATAACCAACTGAGACAGCTACTAAGTGGCTAATGGGGGGTTGTGTTCACAGCATTGATGTGCTGGACAAAGGGATGGTTCATGTCCTGCATGGGACAGACCAGATGGCACACTATTTCATCAGGCATTCAAAATGGTGCTCAAGTAAAAACTTGGGAATTGTTTTTTTTTCTGGAATTGACCATTTAATAATTCTGAATGGTGCTTGACTGCTGGAAACTAAAATTGTGGAAAGCTAAACTGCAGAAAGCAAAACTGCAGATAAGGCAGTGGGGGTGGGGGGGCGGCTATAGTACATAAAAGTAAAATGTATGACAACAAGAGAAAGACAGAGAGCAGATAAATTATCTTACCTGTGAGGTTTTCCTAATCTATCTGGTGGTATAATACCACTTCAAGGTAGACTCTGTTAAGGCAAAGATGTAAATTGCAAATCCAAGAGCTACAACTAAAATATCAAACACAGATTTATAACTACTAAGCCAACAAAAATAGAGATAATAGAATCATTAAAATAATTAATACCCAAGAGGACATAAAAAGAAGTAAAGAGGGCCAAGCAAAAGATGGGGCTAATACAACAAAAAGCAAGTTTATGATAGATACTAACAAACTAGATCAATAGTCATATCAAATCAAAGTAGTCTCAATGCCCCAAATAAAAAGCACAGATGTGATTTTGAGTAAAAATGAAAATCAACAACTGTATGCTGCCCACCAGAAATGCACTATGAACATAAAGATTCAGAAGGTAAAAGTAAAAGAATGGACAAGATATACCATGCTAACACTAATCACAGGAAAGCTGGAGCAGCAATAATAACATCAGACAAAGTCAATTTCAGAGCAAAGAATATAGTCTGGGATAAAAAAACACACTCATATTTTAACAATAAAAGGACAAATTTATCAAGAAAACATAGAAAGAAATCATAAATATTTATGCATCTAAAAGGAGAGTTTAAAACCCTGAACAAAACAACAAGGAGAAATAGACAAATTCACAATTATAATCAGACATTTCAACACCTGTCAGTAATTGGTTAACAACTCGACACCCCCCCCCCCCAATAAAATTAGTGAGGAAACAGAAGACATCAATAACATTATTGATCACCTCGGCCCAACTCACATTTATAGAACAGATCAGCCAACAGCAGCAGAATACACATTCTCATCGAGTGCACACAGACCATGGCCAGGATACTGTAGACTTTGGGTATAAAATAAGTATCAACGCATTTAAAATAATTCAAAAGGCCCTGACCGGTTTGGCTCAGTGGATAGAGCATCAGCCTGAAGACTCAAGGGTCCCAGGTTTGATTCCGGTCAAGGGCATGTACCTTGGTTGTGGGCACATCCCCAGTAACGAGTGTGCAGGAGGCAGCTGATTGATGTTTCTCTCTCATTGATGTTTCCGACTCTCTATCCCTCTTCCTTCCCCTCTGTAAGAAATCAATAAAATATATTAAAAAATAAAATAATTCAAAAGCATGTTCCTTCACCACAGAGGAACTGAATTAGATATCAATAACAGAAAGATTACTGGAAAAGTTCCAAATATTTTTAAATGAAATAACAATCTTCTAAATAACCCATGGGGCAAAGAAGAAATCAAAAGGGAAATTATAAAGGGACTTTAATTAAATGAAAATGAAAATATATCACATTAAAATTGATAGGATGCCACTAAAGGAGTACTTAATAGGAAATCTGGAAAATAGGGACTAACTCCCTACTGACACTGAGGCCAGCACTACTATGCTACTCAAATGAGATCAAGATATTACCACACACACAAAAAAAAAATCACCAAAAAACCCGGTAGACTACTATCCCTCAAGAACAGATTAATAAACCTTTTAGAATTCCAAATCAAATAGAACAACATCCGCAGAGGGTAATACATTATCACCAAGATGGGTTTATCTCAGAAATGTACAGCTTAACATTCAAAAATATGAAATGCAGTTTAACCTCTCAAATACTAAAAAATAAAAAATAAATTAAAAAAATCATAAGGTCATCTCTATAGATGCTCAAAAAAATACTTTATACAATCCAACATTTGTTCTGGATACAAACTCTTAGTAAATAAAAAGTAATTGGAAACATCCTTCCCCTAATCAAGGGCATTTATGAAAAAATCTATGGTTAATAGGCATTTTTGCAGGGAAGGTAAAGATGCATGTTGTGATCTCTAGATCAAACACTAAAAAGTACCACAAAAAGGGGGGAAATATCATTTGAACAATGGTGCTGGAAAAACTGTGTACGTAATGAAAAATAATCTCAATCCTAATCTCATTCCATAAACCAGGAGTGGGCAAAATCTGGCCTCTACTTGTTCTTATAAGGCCCAGAAGCTAATCAACAATGTTTGTGACATAGCAAAATTATATGAAATTCATATTTCAGTACCCATACACCAAGTTTATTGGAGCACAGCCATGCTCACTCACTTGTGTGGTGTCTCTGGCTCTTTGGCACTGCAAGGGCAGAGGTGGGGAGCTGGACCAGAAAACAGAAATCTTTACCATCTGACCCTTTCCAGAAAAAGTTTGCTAATCTTGCCATAAACAAAAATGAATATAAGATGGATCAACTTTCTCAATTATCTATAAAGCTTCTGAGAGAAAGCAGAACAAATTCTCTTCATGACCTCGGAGTAGGCAAACATGTCTTTGATAGGACAAAAAATATTCTAATCTTTAAAAAGCACATTTTTCTTTGTCAAAATTTTAAAATCCTGTTCATCAAAAGATATTAAGAAAGGGCGTGTATCCAAAATATAAATAATTCCTACAAATCAATAACTTAAAAGGTAAGTAATTCAATTTTTTAAAAAGAACAGAAGAGTTCAAAAGAGTGGAAAACAAAACAAAAAACCACCCAAGATCTATAGGTAGATAGTTCCCGCTTCATAGAGGGTATATTTCCAGCTGCTCAAATTCTTTTTTTGGCTAGTAAAACCCTAAGGTCAGCCCTCCCCAGGAATTAACTTTGGTTAAAGAGAATGCTTCAGCCAAGGTCCCTCCACCCCTTCCCAGGGGTGCACCAGCTGCATGCATGGTGTCCTCTTTCCCAGAACAGTCATTGATGAGATTTAGAATTTATGTTTCCTTCTTAGAAAAGATGCACCATGCCTCCCTCACTACCACCTGCTAAGGCTGAGCTGAGACAGGTAAACATCACATCAGCAGGTGCTTGCAGTGTCCTGGCGGGTCCTGACTCCTAATCAGACAGAACCCAGCCAACCTGGGCAGTATCAACACTGCTACTACACAAGCGGCCACGTGAGGGCGCTGTGGATCCACAGAATAAGCTGCTGATGGGGCCCTGTGGGAGAGGGAGGGTTAAGGGAGAGAGTCTTGGCTTGGTTCCTATATCAGGGAGACTATCTGATGAATCAGAGGTTTGCTGATCATACCTTCTCACATTAACTGATATGCAGGTGTGTTGTCACAGCAGGAAGCCACGAGCTTGGCCTTGCCTGGAATTAAGCTCTCTTTTGGAGCATATGTTTGATGGAGAGTGTGATGGGACTTCCTTCAGCCTGAAGCTTGGATAATTCAAGCCAGGTGTACCTGCTCCTAGGAAACAGAGATGCTGTGAGGATGGTCATCTGCCACAAACCCTGCCTGGCCCAGCTGGGCACATCCAGCAGCACTTGCTCAAAGGAAGATGGACAGAGTATCTAGACTCTAGACCAACTGAGCCTGTCCAGGAAGTACAGGTTGTATGTGGAGCCTACCAGGACAACGACATCAGAATAGTGACATCACAGACAAGCCCTCCACCCAGAGCAAAGTAATACTCAAAGCCTCTGCTTTCTCATCCCAAACACTAGAGCCCAGATCTGGGAGATGGCCAGTCTTGTCCTGCCTGAATCTTCCAGTGGCAATTGGCTCCTCTGCTGTGTGGCCCTCTTCCTTCTGGGGGCAGGTGAGTCCTGACTTCAGATGGGACATCCCTTGAACCCAAAGTTCTTGATTATTGTTGGCCTGTCCATCTGCTTCCTGTGCTGGTCTACAGCTTCTGTTTCCTTCCTCCACAGGTTCCGTGGCTGCTGGAGTCTCCCAGTTCCCAAGACACCTAATCAAAGTCCAAGGGGGGCAGGCTGTTCTGAAGTGTCATCCCATCTCCGGACATAATACGGTGTACTGGTACCAGCAGGCTCTGAGCCAGAGCCCCGAGTTCCTCATTAGTTTTTATGAAGAGGAGGAGGGACAGAAAGGAAACATCCCAGATCGGTTCTCAGCAAAACAGTTCAATAACTACAGCTCTGAGCTGGCCATAAGCACCTTGCAGCTGGGAGACTCGGCTGTGTATCTCTGTGCCAGCAGCTTAGACACAGCCCTGCAGGGTCAATGGCTTTCTGTACTCAAACCTCCCTGCCTCAGCTGAGGATGTCACAGGAAAGGGTGGGGGCCTTAGTGAGTTCCAGGGCTTCTAGTTCTTTCTTAAGACTCTCTCTGCTGAGCTCAGCCTGAGCTTCCCTGAGTGTCCTTCCAGCTCTGCCAGCACCTTGCAATTCTTAGCACATGGCAGGAACTCCTGCTGTGATAGAGTGGGGTCCATGTTGTGCGTGCTAATTCACAGACGACATTGTGTTCCACTTTACCGAGGAGGAAGCGCTCATTATACCATTTTATAGGCAGGAAGTTTCAGCCCTCGGACATCTCAAATATTTCACATATGTCAACCCTACATCTCCAGGCCTCCAAAGTCAACATTGCCCAGAATTCCATGGTGCTGCCTGGGCCTGGTCCATAAGATATAACAGAGCTCTGGCTCTCCCATTTCAAGAGCATTTGAGCTGGGATGGGGTGGGGGGTGGGGGGGTGACACCTCATTTGGGGCTACACAGCTGATTGCCTGCCAACTTCTAAGACACAGAGCTTCACGTCACAGAACATGCCTCCCCAGCCGTGGGCAAACTACGGCCCGCGGGCCAGATCCGGCCTGTTTGAAATGAATAAAACTGAAAAAAAAAAAAAAGACCATCCTTTTATGTAATGATGTTTACTTTGAATTTATATTAGTTCACACAAACACTCCATCCATGCTTTTGTTCCGGCCCTCCGGTCCAGTTTAAGAATCCATTGTCGCCCTCGAGTCAAAAAGTTTGCCCACCCCTGCATCCTGTCCTAGTTTATATAGAGGGAGGACATGATATCCCCTAATAGAAGAGCTAAGGGACTAGGGCAGTGGTCAGAAAACTGCGGCCCCTTGAGTGTGGCTCTTTCACAAAATACCACGTGCGGGCGCACATGTACAGTGTGACTGAAACTTTGTGGCCACACTCAAGGGGCCAAAGAGCAGCATGTGGGCTCGCGAGCCGCAGTTTGCCGACCACTGGACTAGGGGATTTCCAGACTAACAGAAGATTCACCAAGAAAACAGAAGCCCTCTAGGAATTTCAGGCAGGATTCTAGGAGTTACTACAGTGAATCAGTTTTTCTAAACCTGGAAAGTGTGGAGGAGTGAGGGTCTCAGCTTGTCCCCACTTTCGATCAGAACATCTGAAATTGCTTCTTCTGCCCAGGTCAGGGACTGCAGAAAACAGCTGAGCATCACAGCTATTAAATGAATAATACAGACGTTTACAGATTAGGGTATGAGTTGATTGGTGAATGCAGATGACTTTAATTCCACACATTTTGTGTATTTAATTCAATCATTTTATTTATTGCCCATTTTCTGTGAGGTAGCATAAATTACCCACATTACAAGTGAAAACACTGATTGTTAGAGAGTTTGGATACTTGGCTAAAGGAAGTACAGCTAACAAATATCAGAATTGGGACACAGACATGGACGATACTGACTTCCACCCATGCTTTAAATCACCCCACCTTTCTGCATGTGGTAGAGAGAGGCATCTTCAAAACGGGATCATGGACCCAAAGGTCCCTTTTGGAAATGTAGGCTGTAACACAAATCATTTGCATAACAGCTTTCACCTGGGAGGGGACCTGCTGGAGAGGAAAGCAATCCAGCTTCCTGGACCTGTCTGTTCATATTCTGACCTGCCTTGGGATGGTGACTCAGAAAATATTTGTCCAAGTTTTGCATTTGTAAACTGGGGCCAATAAGGGGTGTTTTGTAGTGATTTAAAACAAGCAAATATGAAAAATTGCTTAATAAAAATATAGGCTCAAGTCATCTTTGTTCTCTATAAACTCTGTGACAAATCGCTAGTGTAGCACAATTATTTACTATGTGCAGTTCTGGGATGAAAGGCAGGCATGGTTACTTTTGCCTGACTCATCTATGGCTCAGACAGGAACTTCTTTGAAATGCATATATTGCTATTTTATAATTTATTGGGTGAAATTAATGACTGAGAGGTGCTCTTAAGGGAAAATGAAAAGATGACCCAGGAAAGCACTTCCTGTTGATGTTAAATCTGATGTATAAGAAGGTGTGGTGCTTCCAGAAAGTTGTGGCCTCAGAGTGATTGGTGATCACACAGAAGATCTGATGGAAGGGACAGTTTTGTGTGAAGAGAGACCATCATAGTGGAGCCTCTAGTGCCCTCATCCATCCCCGGCCCACCTCTGGTATCAGCCTCAGCTGCAGTGGAGAATTACATACAAGTTTGTGTGCATTTACCTGGTTCTGACAGCACCCCATCACCTGCAGGCTGGGTGTCCCTCTGCTTTCTGCTCTGGCCTCCTCTCTATCATGGGAGCCCACGTGGCCTGCACAGCAGGGCAGCCAGAGCTGCAGAAGTGCTAATGCTCCTGGAGGGATAGGAGCCAGGGATGAAAGCTCAGCCTCTGTATCCAGGAGGACAGCTCAGGAGGCGGTCTGTGTGCTTCTCTACAGATTCCAACAAAATCCATAAATCTATCTCCCAATGTCCCTGCATAACTGTAATATTGCACCTTATCTAGGCTTTTTCCTTCCTGGTTCCTCCCTCCTGGCTCTCCTTTTCCTGCTTCCTGAGATGACTTCCTAAATAAACTACTTGCATCTATCTGTGTCTCCCACTGTGCCTCCTGGGGCAGCCTATATGGTGACAGTGATGGAAGGAAGTGACCATCAAAGGACCCACCCCTTTGGAAGACACGGCTATTTTTGTTTAATTCATTCTGCCATCCTATCATTCAAAGTCTTATAATAACAGATATAAATGATTTCCCCCCAGTTTTGTTAAGCTTATTTTTAATTCTCAACAGATTCACAAGGGTCTCTGCTCCCTTCAAGCTCTGAACCTCTTTGTGACTGACCAGACTTGGTTATCTTTATAGAAGTGGAGTCTGCCTGGACTCTGATAACCTTTAATTCCTTTCACTCAACAAACATTAATTGACTCAGGTGAAGAGTAGTTTGGGCTTGGTGGGGATATATGCTTATGTAATTTTAGAGTGCTCTACTATAAAGGAAAGAAGAAAAGATTCAGAAGTCTTGGAAAGGTCCTGTGGGAATGAGAAGGCCTGAAATTATTCTTCATTGCCTGCATGGCCCATCCAGCCTTCACTACTTACCATATACAGGCACTATCCAGGAGCTTGGGAAAAACCAGTGCAAAAATACAAGGACAAGAAAAAAAAATTCTGATGACATACATTTTGTAATCAACATAAAATTTGTGACTCTAATTCACTAATTTAAAAGAGAATTGCAAAGGAACTATTCCTGGTAAATGTTTATCTCTCTAAAGAAATAAGGGTATTATTGAGAATACTAACAACATGGGAAGATGATACCTTCTTGTGAGAACAGTCCACAGATCTCTGGGATTCCATGCACTCTAACCCAAAAAGTGTGAGTCCTAGCTGAGAAACTCCTCTTTTTCGCATTGACCCAGACTAGAATGTAGGCTCCTTTGCTGTGTGGCTCTTGGTGCCCTGGGAACAGTTAAGTCCTGGATAAGATGTAAAAGCCCTTCCTGGGTTTACCCAGCATCAAGCTGCAAGCCTTTCCATGTGATGACTATTTACCTCCTCCTCACCTCTGATTTCTGACTTCATGTCCTTTGTCACTGTTGTGTCATTATAGTTGCCCATTGAGATGACACTGAGATATGTCTTCACAGAAATGGGGTCACCTCAGACTGAGGAATAACCTGTATAAGAAATCACAGCATGTACTGATTGATATTGACTAGCTGCAAGCTTGGCACTGTAGCACATTTATGATTCAATCAATATTCTCCCATTTGGTGGGTGCAAGACCTTCTTGGATACATAAGAAGTATGTAGCTCTGGCTAAATATCTCACCCATATTGTAACCAGCCTCCTCTTTTTGCAAAAAAAGCACAGTTACAGGGTCATAGGTGAAACAGTCTTCTTTGCCTTCAGATGAAACCAAGGGAGAACTCTTTCCCATGAGCATGAAGAGACCTGAGCATGGAGGGCAGGGCTCCCATCAGTCAATGAATTGTGAGACAACATAAAACAAGTCTTCAGATTCCAATAACCCTGACCTTGGGGCTTTGAAAAGTTCCTGGACATCAGGTGGTTCCTGTAACTGAGAGGATCATTGATTTGTTCCTGTGGGGAAGGGGTGTGGCAGGTTAGTTCCACAACTCAGGCATTTGTCAAGGACAGTGACATCACTGAGTCTATTTCCTCCCAAACAGAACAGGAAGACATGAGATTCTGTCCTGAAATGGTCACCAGGCTCTTCTTCTGGGTGGCTCTTTGTCTCCTGTGGGCAGGTGAGTACAGGGGGGCTTCCTGCCCTGGATTCCCAAGACCTCAGCCCAAGCCTTCATCTTAGGATGACAACATCAGGTCTGTGGCTTCCTTACAGGAAACCTGGATGCCCGAATCACCCAGAGCCCAAGATACAAGGTTGCGGGGACAGAAAAGAATTTGAAACTGAGTTGTCACCAGACTAATAACCACAACATTATGTACTGGTATCGCCAAGACATGGGACATGAGCTGATGCTGATCTATTACTCAGTCAGTGCTGGGATCACCGCTAAAGGAGATGGTGCCGATGGGTACAGTGTCCTTAGACAAAATAAAGAGAACTTTGTCCTCACACTGGAATCGGCGACCCCCTCACAGACATCTGTGTACTTCTGTGCCAGCAGTGAATACACAGTGCTGCAGGACAGCCTCCTCTCAGTACAAAAAGGCAGGAAGAGGCCCTGCACCCTGGACTCACAAACCCCCACACTGAGTAGCCTCCAGTGGCCCTTGTCAGCAGATTGAACCTCTGTGTATGCTGAGGACCACCTCTGGGGCAGTTTTTGACAGGTGTTGACCAGACGCAGGGCCTGGGACACACACTCCCCACTGTTGCTGTCTGTCAGTCTGTCCTCTGCAGCTACCCTATTAGCTGGGAAGGTGCTTCCCCAGCTCTAGGTTTTCACCTCATCAGCTTGAGACTGATGCCTCCAGAGTGGAAAGTCAACTATAAATAACATCCATCCTGACCCCGTTGTATATTACACACTAGTGTCTTAAAGGTCAATGAAGTGGAGTCTTCTTCCACAAAGAAGCAATAAGAAAACTATAGTTTACTGCATGGTGACCTAGAAGGACATAAGGCTTTGCTATGGGCTATAGAGCCATAAAACGACATGGAGGGTAATGAACATAGAAAGGGCATTTGGTCATGATGTGAAGAAAGAATAGGAGCTTTCAACTCAGACACTTTCCCAGGGAATCATTTAATCTCATATCTCTGAATGTTAGTGCATGTCAGGGCAAAGCCAAGTCAATGCCCAATGCCCACCCTGGTCTAAGAACTGGATAAGATTGAGCATGCATGACTGGCAGAGAGGAAGGTATGATGACACAAACAGGGATGCTCACAGAAGGTCCTGACTTGCAGATAAGACAGTGAATTAACCCTT